AAGACCCACCAGCAATGCCAGGTCCTTAAAGTCCCCTCCTGCCTCAGCCACAATGGCCCCGATGCGAAACACAGGGCAGTACGGGCTGGAGCGTGGATCATGGTGGCAGCCCTTGAAATAGGTGGCATCCCACGTCTCCAAGGCATTGGACCTGGGAAGGGCCGGGGGCAGGGTTCAGACAAGGCAGGGGACATGGAGGCTCTGGGGCCAGCCAGGACCTGCCTGGGCTTACTTGGAGAAGTTGAACTTGCTGAAGGTGACAGTGTTTTTGATGAACAGCGTGAAGTTCTCGGCCTGAACCAGCAGAGGCCTCCTGGGGGTGGAGGGGAGATGAGGGACTGAGCCAGACCTGGGGCCCTGCACTGGGGGTGGGGGGAGACTTACGTGGGCACAGCGCCGCTCTCCACGGGGCACCAGCCCTGGATCTCACAGGTCCTGTGGGTCTCGTTGAACACCACACACTGGCCGGTTTTTATGCCTTGAAAACGCAAAATGAATTCTGGCCCTTAAATCTCTGCAGGGCCTGGGGAGGGCTTGGGGCAGGGAGTTACCGGCAGAACAGAGAGATGCAGGGTCAGAGGCACCCCCCAGGGTTCCAGCCCATCTTCCCGCCCTGCCAGAGGCACTACAAGACACAGCCCACAGTTACCATGGCTGTGCGTCCCTGCCTCCCCTTCAGGGCAGTCCTCGTCTTCCCAGCAGTTAGCCAGTGGGACAGAGGGGTGCTGAGGTGGTGAGAAAGCAGAGTTACCAAGTGCCTAAGGAGTGCCTGCCCCCAACCCCTTGTGACCCAGTCCTGTAGTCTACAAAGACATGCCCCTCCCAATTTACCCCCCTCCCCAGGTACCCTGAGGTTGGGGGCACATGGGAATGTGAATAAAATGAAACGGTTAGAGGTGGGAGAGCCAGCAGCCCCCTGGCCAGATGGGGGTGTGGGTGCTGTATCCCAAAGACAGAGGGAGAGCCACTCCCTCCCGACACCTCCTTCCCTGGTGAGGGCAGAAGTGTCTCTTTGAGGTACAGCTCCT